ATAAATACACAGATAGAGAGATAGATAGATAGATAGATAGATAGATAGATAGATAGATAGATAGAGAGAGATAGATAGATAGAGAGATACATAGATAGACAGACAGACAGAATTAAAAAAGCAATAACTATACATCTATAAAAATATTAAGTACAGTCAGACAGAGGAGCCACAGGAAACTGTCCTCCAGTTCTTCTAAATTTAACGTTAAGTCTTGAGTCTGAACATGAGGTGTCTTTAAACGCAGACAACTGAAGCCTTAGGTCAGCTCAGTACATACAGTCAGAGGAATATAAACAGTTAAAACTATAACCCTCAAAGACTGCCTCTAACTCTACACCGTTGTTAGAAAACATGAACGCCACTGTATAAAGCCCGCTTTACTAGAGTTATATAGTAATCTTTTAGCTAACATTAGCTACATTTAGTGTTGTATCAGTAAGTTACAGCCTTATAAAACAGGCTACAACCTGACATTTAAAAGGAGCGAGTGAAATGTCTTCAATTGGTCGGGTCAGTGAAATAATATGTGGAAATGTGAAGGTTAACGTACCATAAGTGCGGCCGACATGATTACGCCGTTGAACGGAAGGTCGTAAGGGACAAACGCTGCACCTCCGCATTTGCAATAGTGTGTTGTTGTTCCTGATGTCCGCCGCAGAGTGTCGCTACCTGCACGTCTCTGATGCTGGGATGAACCTCGAATGACCTGAGAGACATAGTAGGAGTGTTTAATTACCGTGTGGGGCTTTTACTATGAACTTTATATTAACATTACTAATCATACAGAAATTTAAAGGCAACATCTAAATATATGTAAAACATGTAGCAGGAGTATTAAAACTGAAAACACAGGATTAGACCCGACTGGACTCAATAGAGGGAATTATGATAAATAACAACTAAGATATTGAAATGTTATTTCTGTAAACACAATAATAAATGCCTACTTGAGGAAACAGATGACTCAATAGTTTTGCAAAAGTAATTTCAGTGTCATTTCATATATGACTGCTTGAAATTACCTCTGGTAGTAACTTTATGAGCTGAGCTTGTCTAACACACTGTAAAACATTAGAAGATGTGATGATGGACCTGCAGCTGATCATAGAGATTAATATTAAACCAGACTGAAACACACACACCAAGCAGTTCACAGTTGTATTCGTAGAATTTTGTGCTGTGAACATTACTCTCCCTCGTTCATAATGCTAATTACATTATTATAAAGAAACATTGCAGTTCAAAAAAAACGTTTGAGGGCCCTCCCCATGTTGGGACCCTGGGTTCTTGGTACCACTACCCCCCTAACTACTACATCCCTGTGTGCAGAAAAAAGTGGGAGAGAGACAGAAACTAAAAACAGAGTGAGACAAACAGAGGTGCAGCCGGCAATTTGCTCTATTATGTTTTATTATTATTTTAAGCTAACATAAAGATAAGTGACTGTCCTGCTACTAATGCTCAGTTATGCTAACTCATGACAGGTAGTGTTAAAGGGGGAAAAGTTGTTATTTTACGTCATATCTTTTTAATTTTACAGTCTGTGTGTTATATCAGTAAGTCGGTAAGTAAGTTTCTGTTCATAAATCTACTGATAGCTTGAATCAACAGATACATATTTTCAGAACAGGTAGGCCAACTTCCACATTTTTCTCCAAGCAATCTCCTTTTTGGTCCAGTCTCTATAGATATGAAGTATCATGTAGAGCCCACAGACGGCTAAAGTAACAACAACGGGTGTCTCTACCTCCGCTGCAGACAGGTTCAGAAGCAAGAGTGAAGATTATTTAATCCCAAACGTCCTCATGCCAGTAAATGGCTCTGGATCAGAACAGAATCTAGTGTAACTCTGGGTGTTTATTCCTCCTGATCATATTTCAAAAGTTATTATTGGAGAAACATTACAAGCCTTTATACTTATACAAAAAAACAGACTACTTGATGTAAGTGTGGTAAATCTCATTTCATGGTAAACTGCTGCAAATGACTCTTAATGGCTATTTAATGAGCTGAGCTCGTCAGTAACATTAGAAGATGAATCCATAAAATCTATTGGAGGCTTTATTAGATACAACACACCATCTGTGAAATTATTTATTCAACAGTAATACTTTGAAAAATGTAGTTTCTAGTACCACTATTCCCCGCACTACTACCCTGTCCCCCACACACAAATAACTCTTAATTATTAAACTATGATCATACAGTGGAGTGCTGTTTATCACTATAGTCTTCAGATGGCTCTTTATTAACATATTGTATAGATATTAACACATAATATATATTAATTTACCTCCACAGACGGTCAGAGGTTAGCAATCCTCTCTGTGGAGTGAGATCAATCACCTCAAGGTGGCAGCCTCCGTCCTGTCCTCATGTATGTTGTTTTACATCTCCAGGCCAATATTGCTGGTTTATTCAATTTTCCTCCAAGCATTTTCTGGATTTTCACTTTAATACCACAGGGAGGTCTTCTCTCCCTTGCTTGAAACACTACTCATCTGACAGATGTGACACCAAAAACAGGAACACCAACACCACACCCACTCTGCTATATCACTATCATACACACACAAACACACATGCATAGTCCTCCTGAAGATCCCCGCAGTCACACACAGTGAGTGTGATGTGGCAGGCGACTCACACCTGCTGGTACAAACAATTAGCAAATAAGATTACGGCTTGCACCTATCCTGTGTGTTTGCAGAGGATTGGCAGTGGATGGTTGTGCAAACAGAGGGTTTAGTATATTAGTGATCAGGTATGTTCAGTGGTTTAACCTCAGTCAGATGTGCTTCCAGTGAGTAGTCCATACAATGACCAGCATAAACAAAACAATTTAACATTTTAGTGTAAAACCATGAAGATTGTGTCATGTATCAAAATCAAAAGGTGGTACACGGTAAATACACTGTCATGGAAACAGTTTACAATTCGTTAGTTCCTTTGTATTAGTCAAAGAGATTGACAAAGGGATGGAACAATGGAGGAAAAGGCAGTGAGAGAGTAAAAGTGTGGTCTACATGGAGCCTGAGCAAATTACATTACTGAAGGGTTGGTTGAATGAACAGATGGACCAATGAAGTAAACAGTGACTGGCAGAGGGAATGAATGAATTGATTGGGGAATGGTAGGTGGAATAGATGGAGTGCTTACTGGACCAGAATTTCAATGTTTCAACAGAATGGACAGATAGACAGTGTTTGTGTGTCCTTATGGTGCCAGTGCCTGCAAAACACCTATTGTGTGTGTGTGTGTGTGTGTGTGTGTGTTTCTGTGCACAAATGTTTGTGATTGTTCATGCATGTCTTGACTCCTACCTATATTGAGACTAATGATCATTGATTCTGATCTGGTCTGAGCTTTAGAAATTAAATATTCCGCATGCAGCTCTGTTGGAAACACCTCAAAACAAATTGATCTTTATCATGCTGAGATGATTTAATATCAACCCCTAAGAATATTCATGTATCCAGATCAAAAGCCTTTCTCTTTGAACTTTACCTTACTGTATTTTTGATGGGATTTTTGTTCATATCGTTTACATGTGGTTTGATGCACTATATTCATACCCCCATATGTTTGTTTATATTCATGAATTTTTGATTATGTCTTAATGGACTTTGAAAAGCAAACCATGCAGGAGCTTAAAGTTTGAGGTTGCAGCGCAGTCTACAAACACGCAGATGGCTGTTCTGTGCCATAAAGAAAAAGTATAGTCTCGTAAATGTTGACATAAGCAAAGAGCTTTAATGCAGTAGCTTTACCATTTTAAATATCACCAACAGTATGTCTCAAAAGCCAATAATAGTAGTGTTACATCAAACATAGCTGTCCCGTCCTTTCTTACAAGAAAACAGTTAAAATCTACATATGGTATGCAAACCCTGGGCCCTAGCAAGAAGCACTGAGAGGGTTAAATACTTTTTTTGAAGGGTTATGGGAAGGGTAGGTGGTGATAGTAGAGCGGAAACGATTAGTTGATTTATTAGTTCAGTTTCTTGTCCCATAAGAAGCAAGGCAGCATAAAAAACATACATAGATACAGCACTATAATATAACTGAAGGCATTAGTCTAAGAAATAGTCTTTCTGGTTTGTACCAGGGGATAAGGGGAAACACAATTCTCTTCATCCGTATACTGTAATGCACTGAATACAGATGAATGACAATACAGTTGCTCTTATCTTATAATTGATTTAAGGAAACAAAAGGTAAACATTGCCCAGTTCCAGTTCCCCAACTGTTAGGATTTTCTACATTTGTTTGCTTGTGTGACAGCAAATGGAGTATATTCGGGTATGAGAAGATTGGTTGGACAAAACAAGTCATTTTAAAATATCACCTTGGGTTTTAGGTAATTGGGACATTTTCACTATTTTTCACACAATTGTTTGATGGGTTTCCTGCCCTTAAGAGAAAAACATGCTTTATTCCAATATAAGAAATCCTTTTTTATCTTCAGAATATGTGTGTGCATAGCAGGAAAACATACTGTATTTGATAGATATCTTGTCTTATCACCACACATCAGTGGGAGTTTGAAGTTGTGCAAAGTCTGAAGAATGTTAAAAGGCACATTGTAATCTAAATGAGTCCAGTGCATACAAGATTGTATCATCTGCATAAAAAGTCTGTTTTGGAGTAATAATACAGATAGAACAACATAATAAAATAAACCAATATATAGTTATTTATATACATATATGCATCTTTTGAATTTGCATCTAAGATAATGTAAACAGCAGTATCTGTAAAACACTAAAATTTCCCTGTTTTGTCCAGGTTTTCACCACAGTTAAAACAATAATTATAAATGTATACTTGTGGGTTTATACATTATGGGTTGCGTGTGTATTTATTAAGACCAGCAGTGTTAATTTTAGCCAATAATATATTACAGTTTGAAGCAAATGTGTATAACTAATGATTGCTTTCTACTAGCCAAGAGTGATGCAAGGCAGTGGCAGCTAACTAGCTAACTGTAATGAGAAGCTAAGCTGGCATTAGCCAGCTGGCTGTGGCTTGGCTCCACACGGGTCTGGCTTTGGTTTCTTCGTGGTGTTGGCTGATCGAGTGATTTGTAAACAACAAGCTAGCTAGTATCATTAAGCCGGTGGTGCAAATAAAATATAGGAACATTCCAGATAGAAACGTTTTTCTAAATATGATTGTAATTTATTTTCCAGCATTCAGTGTTCATTTCAGCGTTTGTGAATGTCACTTTTGGCCGACAGACTGTGTATGGAGTGTAAGCACAAGCAGCAGGATGCTGACTGCAGTTCACTTGGCAACCACGGTGTCATTTTTGCAGTTTTCTGAAAGTTACACAACCTTTAATCGAGAAATAATCAGCAGATTATGCTTATGAAATTACATTTTTGTTAGAGCTATATAAGATATGCTGCCTTCTCATTAGTTACTTCGCTGCTCTGCCCCCTGCAGTCCTTACATTAATATAAATCCATTGTTCCCTTTACTTGCTTGAACACTGTCAGTTTACAGCAGAGACGTACTGCCAGCAGTAGACCACATTAAGTAGAAGGCCTCAACAATTATGAGCACATCATTTTACACTGCTCTTGTCAGAGGCTTATCACTATGACTATATTATTTCTCATAAGGGAAAGGCAGAACTCCTTC